AGGAGGAGGAGGAGGAGGAGGAGGGAGGAGGAGGAGGAGGAGGAGGAGGAGGAGGAGGAGGAGGGAGGTCGAGGTGACTGTCCCAGCACGCGAGTGTGTCACGTGGTGGATGACATCACCCTGTTCGCGGCTTTGGCGGCCTCCCTCCTCGGCAGTCGGCTCGGAGGGGCGGCGTCTCTCCTCCTCGTACAGCCCCAGGGGCTCTACCTGGTGATCTCCAGGGATGGAAGGAGTTACAGCCCCAGGGGCTCTACCTGGTGATCTCCAGGGATGGAAGGAGTGGTGATGGTGACAGCTACCGAGGTCGGGAGAGAGGTTAGTAAAATCATCAGATAAGCTGTTAGGAGCCACCAAGAATCTCGGCGCTCATTTCACCTGTAGGAAAGGGAAGAGGACTTCGGTCGTGCAGCGGAAGCGAGTGGCTGCGCTTCGGCCGAGATTCCGTCGTTTCCGTGGGCTGCGTTCTGCGTTTCGAGGTGCCGCCCCGATCTTCAAAACGGGAGGCCTACCTTCGGTCACTCACGGCAGCGCGGTGGAGTTGTGGATACCAGTCTTGAGGACATGCGCTCCATTTTGGGGTAGGCGAATTTTGGAATATCCAAAGGTCGGTCGCGCACGATCGAGTTTCAGGCCAATGGGGGTCCCAACGGGGACGTCACGTATGCTGCTAACGCTACCCCCTTCTTTCGCGGTGCTTTGCCCTCTACCAGCAGTGGGCATCTGAAACCTTGATGAAGAACATTTTCGATGCATTTTGCCACACGCTTGGGTTCGGCCGGGGTCGGTTACTGGTCCCGCATGGGCGGTCCTGCGCACTTTGCGCCGCCTTGGCTGGACGACTCGAGGATTCCGTGATTGGGCCACGGACAGGGGAGTTGTGGTCGATCTTGGGTTCCCTGGAAAGCGGACGTTGAAGATCCTCATCGAAGAAATGCACCCAGAGAGTTTTGATCCAGAGTACCTCTAGTGAGGCTGATGGACTTTCGGCAGGCCCGCTTTTGAGGCCGCTTGCCGAGCGGCTCCAGTCTCTCCGAGCTGCTGGGCGGGGCACCGAAGCCGCTCTCTTGGCCGGTGTGGCTGCAGGAGCTCATGCCGCGCAGCAGGCCTTTTTTGCAGGAGACCCCGTCCTGATCCCACTCCTTAAAGTGGCACGGCGTCCTTGCTGGACCCCCCTAGGTCAGTCTTTGTGGCTGCGACGGCACGCAAGTCATCCGTCGGAACCTTGACCTCCAGGACTTCACTCAGGAAGGCTTGGAGGGAAGCGAGGAGGACCCAGGTCACACCAGAGGTCTTTTTTCCAGCCCCGAATGGATTTGGCTGATTCCCCTTCTGGACGCGGGGTTTAAGTGGATGGTCATTCCCCCTTCGGGGACTCTGGACACGGGAATGATCAGCATCGATGGCTCCGCCTTGGACCCGAGTATCCAGATTTTCTCCCTGGTTGGTTCTAGGGCGTGTGCCGTGCACATGGGGGGTATAGTGGTTGGCTCCATCAATGGTCCCTATCCCCACCCCCTCCAGTGGGCTGTGGGTGAGGAGGTTCATGCCATCCTCATGAGTCTCAGTCAGTTCGGCCCTAGTGAAACCAAGTTCATATCATATTGCCAGATGATGTTGGATGTTTTGGGCAAGGGCCCTGACCAGGACCTCACCGATGTGGCTTTCAGCGAGCTTTGGCGCGAAATCTTCGCCAGGGCCAGGGACATAGGGTTGCAAATCATCCGTGCGTTCAAAATCAAGAGCCAACTGACCGGAGTCCAAGCTCCGATTGGTATGTTCCGTTTTTGGTATGGTCGGGAACCAAGGAGGCTGACCGCCTAGCGAGGCTTGGAGCGGATGTGCATGCCCATCATCCCTTGGCGAAGTTGCAGTCTGCCGAACGGGGCGAGCGATCCAGCAAGAGTACCAGGCTCATCTTCGACACTGAGCCATCTGTCCAAGCTCGCTCTCCCAGATGTGGCGAGGGTACGAGGACACCCGCGTCCGAAGCCGAACGGTCTTGAACTCGTTCCCGAGTTGCTCGGCCACCAGCTTGTGAGAGTTTGCCGTGCAGGCAAACAGTTCTCTTGTGCTCGGTGCGGAAAGACGGGCATTACATTTCAACTCTTGCGCCAGCGCGCATGACATAAACCTTGGCGGATCCATCTAAGTCGGTGCGGATCCGAATTTGGTTTGTATTTGTGTTGCGATGAATCTTGTTTCCCTCCGCGCGGATCCGATTTCGGATGTTGTGGATACGAATTCCGTCATGTTTTTCATGCCGATGCGATTCATACCCTGTTTCAGATTTGTTATTTAAGATTGAATCGAGTAGCGGACGGAAATCGGATCCGCGGCACCCGCGTCCGCCGCTGTTAAGATTCTACGGGGGAGGGGGGTTTGGTTTCGAACTGTCGCAGACAGGTCGCGTGTTGTTTGACGGGCCCCATCAACCCTCCCCGCACGCGGGTCGCACCCAGCATGAATACATCTCACCTCATCCCCGGCTGCTGCAAGCATCTTTTCCAGACGCTGGGCGCCTGGCGGCGCCGATGCTCTCTCGCCAACCGCTTGTCGCCGCTGGCGCCTCAAGAGGAAAGTATCGTTCGTCCTGCGCAAGTAGGGCTTGCACTCGTAGGACTGCACGTTCCGCCAGTCAGTCCCACTCGTTTTTCTTGGGGGTGGGGTGTGGGGGGCGGTCGTGTGCTCCGTGTGGCGAGTCCAGGGCACGCTGGAGCCATGACCTCACGGACCCCCGCCCTGGAGGACCCCGAGACAGGGATGTCGGGCGGGGGCTAGATGTGCTCGAAGCTGGCACCGACCCATCGTCCCAGGGCCATGCCGAGGTGAGTGTCGCACTGTCTCGGCTCTCGTCGTCGCCATCGTCGTCGTCGTCGTCGTCGTCGTCGTCGTCGTCGTCGTCCGCTGGGCGGTATGAGCAGCGATGATTTCGACGAGGCTCCGAATCTCGTTCTTTTTTTCTCGCGGGCCAGATCCTACTTGCCATCGTTTGAGCGGGATCTGTTCATGATCGCAGGAGGTGTCGCAGAAGGACGGGTTGAGGAGGAGGAGGAGGAGTAGGAGGAGGAGGAGGAGAAGGAGGGGGAGAAGTACGACGATGCACCCTTCTTTTCTGAAGGGATCCTCCTGGCCCTGGTCGCAGAGTGGAGAGGCGACGTGCCGCCGCAGGAGCCCCAGGCCGGGTCGCCCCAGCGCCGCGCGGTGGCAGCAGGGGCGCTCGCGCGCGGCGGCCCTCGGCGAGCTGGCTGGAGGCGCAGGCAGCGCGGAGCAGCTGTGCGGGGGAGTGGCGGATGGGGCACGGTGATGGTGGTGGTGGTGGTGGTGGTCGTGGTGTTATTGTTGGTGGTGGTGATGATGACGATGGTGATGATAACGGCGACGACAATGCCGATGACGATGATGATGATGCTGATGATGATGATGATGATGATGATGATGATGATGATGATGATGATGATGATGATGATCATGATGATGATGCTGGTGGTGATGCTGGTGGTGATGCTGGTGATGATCATGATGATAATGAGGATGACCTTGATGATGATGAGGATGACGCTGATGACGAGGATGATGATGATGCTGCTGATAATTGTGATGACGATGACGATCACGATACTGACGATGCAGATGATGATTCTGATGCTGATGCTGATGATGGTGATGATGTTGATGCTGCTGATTCTGATGATTATGATGCTGCTGGTGCTGGGGCTGGTGTTCATCGGGATGGTGATGCTGATGCTGCTGATTCAGTGGACGATTATGCTGATGATGGTGATGACGACGACGATGGCGACGATCAATCTGATGATGATGCTGCTGATGATAGTGATGATGATGATGCTGATGATGATGGCGATGATGGTGATGCCGATGATGACGATTGTGACAACCACGATGACGATGACGATGGTGGTGATGATGATGCTGATTAGGACGATGAGGATGATGCGGCTGATCATGATGGTAGATCTAATAGTGATACTGATGATCATGATAGTGGTGATGAGAATGGTGATGCTGCTGCTGCTGCTGCTGATGATGATGATGATGATGATGATGATGATGATGATGATGATTATGATGGGATTGATGATGATGATGAGCATGATGATGATGATGATGATGGCGATCATGATGACCATGGTGCCGATGATATGGATCATGGGCGATGGGGGAGGGGGCGGCGCACGAGGTAGACGGCTGAGGGGGGAGGATGATCGATGGTCTAGGATTGAGGCTTTCATGCATTCTTGATCACCTTCTTAGCTTCGAAATTTCTTGATGCCTTCACAGGTCTGCACATCCCTGGACTTCCAGGAAGGGATTGGGAAAGTGCATCACAAGTGAACGAGGATGAGGTGGGGGAGGAATGGGACGACGAGGAGGTGGGAGGAAGCGGAGGAGGCGGAGGAGGAGGAGGAGGAGGATGAGGAGGAGGGATGAGGAGCGATTAGGAAGAGTAGATGGAGGGAGGAGGGAGTAGGAGGAGAGAGGAGGGGATAACTCGGAATACCTTCATCAGAGAGGGACGGAAGTTTTTTAGACGCGTTTTGCTTCATGTGGTATCCAGGACGCCTCCGCGAAGCTTCTGGTGACCCCTGGATCTTCACGAAACCTCTGGAGGCTTCCAGTGAGAAATGGCAATGACGAGGACGAGGACGAGGACGATGACGATGACGCTGGTGATGGTGATGGTGATTGTGATTCTTGTGATGGTGATGGTGATGATGGTGATGTTGATGCTGATGTTGATGATGATGATGATGATGATGATGATGATGATGATGATGATGATGATGATGATGATGATGATGATGATGATACTGATGAGCATCGGCCGTGGAGGGCAACGGAACACGTTTTCCTGGGAGCTTCGTTGCACATGTTTTTGGTGAGCAAGCCTCCACGATTGGTGCTCGTTTTTCGCATTCGGTTGAGACTGGTAGCGTGCCGCCTGATTTCGTTTTGGGCTACATGTTCTGAGCCTGCTGATCTGATAGCTGGTGCTGCTAATGCGTCATCGATCGTGTTTCCTCTCACGAGGGAGCTGGCAATGAAGGGACCGTGTTTCAAAAACGCTAGCCCTGGAATCTTCGGCATCTTGAAGAAGGCAGGAACGATGTCAGCCAGTGTGGACCCCAAACAGTGTGTCTAGCAATCACTGTTGTGCAATCTATGTGGTGCAGTCTTTGTGTGCAATGTATGGTCAGTGCAATCTATGTTGAGGGCACTATATGTTGTGCAACCGATGTGGTGCAATCTATGTGTTCTGCAACCTTTGTTTTGTGCAATATACGCGCTGTGCAATCTATGTTTCGTGCATTCTATACGGTGCAAGACGTGTTATGCATTTCATCTGGTGATATATATATATATATATGGTGTAATCTATGTGGTGCAACCTATGTTTTGTGCAACCCATGCTTTGTGCAATCTACGTTTTGTGCAATGGATGGTGCCCTATGCTTTGTGCAAATCTACGTTGTGTGAAATCGATGGTGCGCAATCGGTTTGGTGGAGTACACGCCTAGCAATCTATGCGGTGTAACCTATGTGGTGCAACCTATATTTGTGCAGCCTATGTCTTGTGCGGCGACGAGACGGCGATGGCGGCAACATAGCCGTCAGACCAGCAGACATGCCCAGAAGACGGGAGGCGACGAGGCGGCGACGGGGCGGCGAATGCGGCAACATAGCCGCCAGCCTGGCAGACAGGCCCAGACAACGCGACGAGACGGCGACGGGGCGGCGACGGCGGCAATATTGCCAGACGGGCAGACAGGCCCAGACGACGGGCGGCGACGATGAGGCGGCGACGGGGCGGCGACGGCGGCAATTCAGCCGCCAGAGAGGCAGAGAGGCCCAGACGACGGGCGGCGACGAGGCGGCGACGGGGCGGCGATGGCGGCAACATAGCCACCAGAGCGGCAGACATGCTCAGATCCTTAGAGCAGAAGTAAGGACCTCTGAGTGCAAGCATGGCTTTGTGAATATCTGCCAGGTGAACACTTGCTGTCGTCAGTCGAGAAGCGCATGTGTTTACCAATTTGAAAGCCCGCGCCAAGCGTGACCCTCGTGTGACAAAATGCCACTGGGCCAATCGTCCTGCGCGTGCGAAACAGGCAAAACAGCATTTTGCGCGCAATTGGAAGCAACATTGCAGAGGATGGTATTTTATGTGCGCTTTGGTAGCATGCGCGGTCCCAGAAGACCCAGGCACGTCCGCGCACATATGCACACAAATGCCTCGGCATATACGCATACGGTGTACACAGGCAGGCACATGCGTACACGTAGTTGGATGCATATCGGCGTATGTTGTCGGCGGATCGGGTGCTCGCTCGTCGATCCTCTTGGCAGGAAGCATTGAAAGCCTTCCTCGGCTGCGTCTGGAGCGGCTCGAGGCCACCCGGTTCTGTCAGCCGCCCTCGGCGCTGTCCTCGGGGCCGAACTCCAGACCCGAGTTGCGCGGCGAACATCGGCGAACGCGCGGGAGGGCCCGACTTCCCCCCCCTGTCCCTGCTCGGTCTTGCCTCATCCGTCCACGTCCTCCCGCCCGCACCCCTCGAGTGATCCCGAGCCGTGTGCCTCTCGGTCGTCGGGGCGGGGGGGCCTCCGGCGCGGTGCAGGAGGGAAGGGTTCTCGCTAACAAGCTCGCCCGCACAGGGCGTGGCTGACGAGAAGGCAGCGGAGGGGACGGAGCTGTCCACGCTCGGGGCTCACGCCGCCCAGGCCAGCCTGGGGGTGGTGCTGATGTGGACGACGATGAAGACTGCAACGACTGTGATCCTGCTCATGCTGATGATTCCGACTCCGATTCTGATGATGATGATGGCCATTCTCGTTCTGATTCTGATGCTGATGATTCGGGTGGCTCTGATGATTCTGGTCACTCCGATTATGATGCTGATTCTGATTCTGCATCTGATGATGATGATGATGATGATGATGATGGTGGTGATGATGATGATGATGATGATGATGATGATGATGATGATGATGATGATGATGATGATGATGTGGCTGACGTGTTCTGTTCAACAGTAATGAAAGGGGGACGTGTTGGCTCCCCCCCAAGACCAAACTTCTGCTTGCTCCTTCAGCGCAGCTGTTTCCGGCCAGATTCTTCACGGGACTTCCTTGAAAATGAGGGGGAGAAAGACACATTGGCAGTGTGTGGAACAATTGTGGCTCACAAACAACAGCACGATCGAGACAAGGATCGTTGACAAGACCCTGGACCGGGTCAAACATCGCCTGATGGACAAGGATTTCGAACAAAAGTTGATCCGAATATTCTGGGATACGGGGATCATCAATATCAAGGGTATCAAGGTTGCCGAGGTCAAGGGTTCACGGAGAACAGGAAACGCACGGGAACGGGGACCAGGTCAAGCAGGACGTGGTGGCGTTGATGGAGCGGTGGCGGAACAAGCGTGACGCCATGTGACGAGACGGGCAACGACCACTGACCCCAGCTTCCCATCCAGACCAATGGGCTGACATCTATCAGAATCTAGCATCCCGTTTGGCACCAGATCCACAACACGTTTCACCCTCGACCCACAGTGTTTCTCATGGATTGCAGCTTCATATTGGGACCTCCGGAGGCTCCAATGTGAACCTTTTCTCCCGACTGCATGTCAGGACATATTCGGATCACTGTCTCATGACTCTGAGGAACCTTTTTTGCGTGAAAGCGTACACCTACCGCAACCTGGCCATCTTCGCGAACGACGGCTCCGGCGACTGTCACCCACGGCTCCGCGAACTGGGTACTAACCAGCACGCCGGCACTGACCGACAGCAACGAACACCCTCGCAACCACCATCGACCAACACCATGATCAATCCCGACCAAAACCGACCAGCAGCAATACCCAGACCACACACCGACTTCGAAAAACCACCCCCAACAAGCAACAACGACAGCACCGACCAGAAACCAATGCCAGCACAAACGCAGGCTGGCAACGCTAGCAGCACTGACCACGATCGTCCAGCAGCGCCAACCAGACCGCATGCTGAATTCCACAAGCCAACTTTGGCCACCAATGCCGACCAGCAACGACCTCCGCAGATCACCATCGCCGACCAGAGACAAAGCAACCGGCCCAAATACGAAGTTCCAGACCTTCCACCGACTAGCGGCATCAACCAACAACGACCACCACAGATCACCAGCAGCGACTTCCACATTTAAAACAGCGCGGACCAGCGACTAGCCGACCAGCCCAACCACCGACCACCAGAGCCAACCACCAGACCGACCGACACCGACCAGCAGCGACCCCCCACAGATCACCAGCAGCGACGGCCACAAACAACCAAATTGACCAGCACTTTCCAGCAGCACCAACCAACGTAAACACCGACCTCCGCATACCTTGGCCAGCATCCACAGGAGGAGGACGAGGAAAGTACAGTGATGTAGATAGCAACTTCACTGTTTCGTCCATGAAATTTCGACCTGCACGGCATAGCTCCGGTGGAAGCCGAACAGGGTGCACCATCGCCGACGACGAATTGCTTCCTCCCTCCCAGGGCGAACGGATCAACGGCCCGCGTGAGGCACCGTGCGACGAGTCTGCCGTGATTGATCTCACAGCCAAGCAGCACCGACCAGCAAGCAGCACCGCCGACCATGCGCTTCCAACAGCGCCGCCGCCGACGAGCAGCGCTACCAGAATCGACCACCACCGACCAGCAGCACGAGCTAGCCCAATCACTAACCCCCCTGGACCACCGCCACGTACCGGAGGAGGCGGAGGACGAGGAATATTCAGTGCTGCAGACGGCGACTTCTGGTCGCATCTTTACGATTTCGGCTGCCTCGCCATGGGCGAGCCGAGAGCGACGACATCGACGACGACGACGATCCCACTTGTCTTACCCAACCACCCCCTCGTACCCGCTCCGACCAAGCCTCCCCAACACTGCCAGCAGCCACCATCGAGAGCAGGGGCTGCACCGCACTCACCATCGTCCACAAGAGTGCGGGGTCGTTGGAGAGTGACGTCCGTATCGAGGAACTCCTACATGACGTGCAAAACCAGCATTGGGACACCATCCTGATCCTGATCAACGAAATTTACAGGACAGGACAAACAGAATTGTTGAACACGGACGGGGGACATACTTTCGCAGGTTCTGGAAACGACAGGCGGTGCTATGGTGTCACACTCCTCGTGCGCAAACGTTGGAAATCCTACATATCAGAGTTCCAGGCCGTCAGTGCGAAGCTTGCCGCGATGATCATCAACAGTGGGCGTATCCACATACAGTTGGTCTTAAGATCATTTTCGCACACCAGGTATGCAGACGCACACATACAAAGCATGTACGACGGGATTGGCGCCACGCTCAAGGAGTCCCGCGCACGCAGCATACGGACCATTCTTGCTGCAGACTTTATTGTCCAGGTTGGCGCACAACCGCGGTCGGAACGAGCACCTGGGGGCGAACCAAGGGCCGTCGACGACGTGTGGCTTCGATTTGGAGGCCATCATGGATACGGCGACGAGAACTTCAGAGGGCAAGGGTTGCGACACTGGGCCACAACCGAGGGGCACGCGGTCACGAAGATGTTCTTCCGCAAACCGCCAGACAAGCATATTACTTACACCACGACCGCGGGAAATCCGCGACAGTACGAGTACATGCTGGTGGATAGAAGTCTACTCTCTCTGTGCGTCGACGCCGAGGCCTCGGACATCACTGATCTGACCTCGGACCACAAAGCCGTTATGCTCTGCATTCGCTTCCTCAGACGAGCACAATCGAACGCCAGGCGCTCTTTGATAAGTACTTCTCCAACCGCCGCTTCCCACAGCCAGCACGGTGCGAACGTACAATTCGTCAAGAACCGGCGTTGCTTAGGCCTCCAACTGCAAACTGGAAAATTGCCGACAGACCCGCAGGAGCTGTGCACGGTCATCGAGACGAGCATGTGCACCTCTGCAGCCCACGGGTCGAACACCGAGACGACGCCTTTACGAACGAGCGCAACCAGTGCGGACGACTCCAACCAGCAACATCACGACGATGCTGTTTCGGACCTTGTCAAACAACGCCAAATAGCACCCACCGCAGACACCGCTTCCCCACGATCGATCAGTACAAAGATTCAGCAGAAGAGTCGACGACAGAAGCATGCGGATTGAACGGATCAAGGTCATTCAAGTATAAGGGTTTCAAGCACATCCGTCAAAACCCGAGGAAGGAGCACGCCCATTCGCGGCATGATAGGGGGCCGGCGGGATCAGGAAGACAATGAGACACGGAATCGTGGACACATTCGCAGAATGTTACGCTGAATTATATATTTCATCCATTGCGGGCGATCGACCAGCGGACGCGACATGCAAGCCGCAGCAAATTCCCCCTTTCATTGAAGTCGAGCTCAAAGCAGCAATCTCACAATTCTAGGGCAATCAAGGCACGCGACACCAGCGGCATTCTGGCTGAAATGCTCCAACAGTGAGGCCCAGAGCTCCAACGCGCTCTATGGCAATTGTACAACACAGTAACACAGTCATCAAGGAAGACGCCCCCACGCCAGCCAGCTGGAGAACAACTGTTACCTCTTCAGAATTATCGCCCGATCTGCGCAATACCAATGCTGTACAAGCTCTTCAGCAGCTTATTGTACAACATACTACACCCGACTTTGGACCGACTGCACCCTGACGACCAAGCTTGTATCCGACCTGGCCAGGGCACGCACGACCACCTTTTTATTCAATCGCTTCGCTCATTCCGCTGGCCCATGTTGCATGATCGCTACTGCTTCGCCGTGGGCCCGGGGCCATTGTGGTGCCGCCGAGGAGGAAGAAGATGAGGATGGGGAAGGGGAGGGGAGGAGGAGGAGAGGATGAGAAGGAGAGGAGGAGGATGAAGATAAGTAGGAGGAAGAGGAGGAGGAGGAGGAGGAGGAGGAGTAGGAGGATGAGGAGGAGGAGGAGGAGGAGGAGGAGGAAGAGGAAGGGGCGGAGGAGGAAGCCTCTCGTTGGCATCTTTTGTTGCTCTTGAGGCCAAACAGGGTCGTCGTCAAGATGCTTCTTTGGGAGGCCTCTTGGGGTCTTTGAGAAGCCGTTCGGGGGCGCCTGGGAGGCATTTTTGAAGCCTTCTGGGGGGCCTCCTGGGGGCCTCCTGGGGGCCTCCTGGGGCCTCTGAGGGGCCTCTTGGCGGCATCTTGGGGCCTCTTGGGGGCCTCTCGGGGCCTCCAGGGGCCCTCTTGGGGCGGAAGGCTCGAGGTTTCGTTTCGTGGTCCCCCTCTTGGGCCCCTCTTGGGGCCGTCTTGGGGCCGTCTTGGGCCGTCTTGGGCGCCTCTTGGACCGTCTCGGGGCCGCCAGTCGTGGTCCGCCCCCCCTCCTTCAGGGCGCGCCGATGAGCCCTTTCTCCTGCACCTCCCTCGGCCCTTTTCTGTCCTGCTCTTCCTCCTCCTCCTCCTCGTCGCCCTTCTCCTCCTTGTCGTCCTCCTCCTCCTTTTCCTCCTCCTCCTCCTCCCCCTCCTCCTCGTCCTCCTCCTCGTCCTCCTCCTCGTCCTCCTCCTCCTCCTCCTCCTCCTCCTCCTTCTCCTCCTCCTCCTCCTCCTCCTCCTCCTCCTCCTCCTCCTCCTCCTCCTCCTCCCCCCCCTCGCCCCCGCGTCCAGGGCGGGCCGATTGGCGGGCTGGAGGAGGCCGGCGGGGCTGGGCCTCCCTCCTACGAGGACCTGGCGGCCTGGGTGCTCCGGCTGCAGGCTCGCCTCGCTTGGAGGGGGTCGGCAAGGATGATGATGATGATGATGATGATGATGATGATGATGATGATGATGATGATGATGATGATGATGGTGATGATCATGATGATAATGATGATAATGATTATGATGATGATGATGCTGATGCTGATGATGATGATGCTGATGATGATGATGATGCTGATGATGATGATGATGATACTGATGATGATAATGATGATGATGATGATGATTATGATGATGATGATGATGATGACGTTGATGATGATGAGGGTGAGGATAAGGATGATGATGGGAGTGATGATGATGACGAGGATGATGCTGATGGTGATGGTAATGGTGATGGCTGTGGTGGTGGTGGGGGTGGTGATTGTGATAGTGATGGTGAAGGTGATGGTGATGGTGATGATGATAATGATTATGATTATGATGATTGTGATGCGGCTGCTGCTGATGATGATGTAGACGATGGTGATGGCGATGTTGTTGATCATGATGAGGATGATGATGATGATGATGATGGTGATGGTGATGGTGATGGTGATGGCGATGGCGATGGTGGTGAGGATGAAGATGCTGATGATGATGCTGATGATGGCGATGGTGATTTTGATGGTGATGGCAATGGTGGTGATGATGACGATGCTGCTGCTGGTTTTTGTCATGATGTTGATGCTGATGATGATGATGATGAGAATGATGATGAGGAGGATGACGCCGCTAATGATGATGGTGATGCTGATGCTGATGCTGATGATGATGATGATGATGATGATGATGATGATGATGATGATGATGGTAATGGTAATGGTAATGGTGATGATGATGACGGTGATGATGCTGATGATGATGGTGATTGTGATGGTGATGGTGATGGCGGGGGTCGTGGTGGTGATGATGCTGGTAACGGTGATGGTGCTTGTGGTGGTGATGATTATATTGATGATGAAGATGATGCTGATGCTGCTGCTGTTGATAGTGAGGATACTGATTTCGAGGATGACGATGCTGATGATGATGCTGATGGTGGTTGTGATGGTGATGATGATGATGATGGTGATAGTGATGGTGATGTTGATGGTGATGACGGTGGTGGTGATGATGATAATTGTGATTGTGATGGTGATGTTGATGATGACGATGATGCTGATGCTGCTGATGACGATGTTGATGATGAGAATGCTGATGATGATGATGATGATAATGACGTTGATGATGATGATGATGGTACTGATGATGATGATGGTGATGATTAATGCGATTGTGATGTGATGGTGCTGGCGGGGGCAGTGGTGGTGCTAGTGATGATGCTGATCATGGCGATGTTGTTGATCATGATGAGGATGATGGTGATGATGATGATGATGATGATGATGATGATGATGATGGTGATGGTGATGATGATGATGATGATGATGGTGATGGTGATGGTGAAGTTGATGGTGTTGGTGGTGGTGGTTGTGGTGATGGTGGTGATGATTGTGATGGTGATGGTGGTACTCATGATGCTGATGCTTCTGCTGCTTCTGATGTTGGTGATGGTGATGGTGAAGGTGGTGGTTGTGGTGATGATGATGGTGATGGTGATGGTAATGGGGATGGTGGTGGTGATGATGATGGTGATGGTGATGGGTGATGGTCATGATAATGCTGATGCTGATGCTGATGAGGAAGATGATGATGGTGATGGTGACGGTGGTGGCCTTGGTGGTGGTGATGGTGGTGGTGATGCTGATGGCAGTGGTGGTGGTGCTGGTGGTCATGATGGTGATGGTGCTGATCATGATTATGATGCTGCTGCTGATGATGGTGATGGTGATGGTGATGTTGATGATGAAGAAGATGATGGTGCTGAAGCTACTGCTGATGTTGATGGTGCTGGTGATGGTGGTGGTGGTGATGATGATGATGATGGTAATGGTGATGGTGATGAGGATGATGATGCTGTTGACGACGACGCCGACGACGAAGATGATGTTGATGATGATGACGAGGATGACGATACTGATGATGATGTTGATGATGATGATGATGCTGATGATAGTGATTGTTATGGTGATGGCGATGATGATGGTGATGGCGGGGCTTGTGGTGGTGATGGTGATGTGGTAATGATGGTGACGCTGATGCTGCTGATGAGGATGCTGATCATGGTGATGGTGATGGTGGAGTTGGGGGTGGCGGCGATGATGCCTGTGATGATGATAGTGATTGTGATGGTAATGATGGGGCTGCTACTGATGATGATGATTTTGTTGATGACGACGGCGATGGTGATGAGGATGGTGTTCATGATAACGGGGATGCTGATGATAATGATGTTGAAGATGATGATGATGCTGATTGTGCTGCTGCTTACGATGATGCTGATGATCATGATGATGTTGATGCTGCTGGTAATGTTGATGCTGACGATGATGACGATGCCGATGTTGATGATGCTGATGATGATGATGATAATGCTAATGCTAAGGCTGAGGATGCTGATGATGCTGATGATGGGGATGATGATGCGGATGATAGGGTGGTAAGGATGGTGGTGATGCTGATGCTTATGATGGTGAGGGATGGTGATGTTGAAGCTGCTGATGCCTATGATGCTGACGATGCTGATGATGACGATGATGATGATGATGATGTTGGTGATGCTGATGCTGTTGCTGCTGATGCTGCTGATGCTGATCATGCTGATGGTGATGATGATGCTGATGATGGTGATGCGGATGATGATGCTGCTGCTGATGATGATGAGGATGATGATGATGACGATGTCGATGACGATGGCGATGATGATGATGCTGATGATAAGGATGATGGTGATGCTGATGATGCTGATGATTATCATGGTGCTGATGATGCTGATGCTGATGATTATGATGATGATTCTGGTGATGCTGACGATGATACTGCTGATGATGATGAGTATGGTGATGATGATGCTGATGTTGTTGATGATGGTGATGGTGATGATGTTAAGGATGATGTTGATTTTGATGATTATGATGATTATGCTGAGGATGCTGCTGCTGCTGGTAATGTAGATGCTGATGCTGATACTGATGAAGCTCGTGCTGATGTTGATGCTGATGCTAACGATGCTGATGCTGATGCTGATGATGCTGATGATGATGATGGTGGTGACGATGATTACGATGCTGATGATGATTGCGATGATGATGCTGATGATGATGATGATGATGATGATGGTGATGCTTGTGGTGGTGATAATGATGCTGATGGTGATGATGACGATGCTGCTGAGGATGATGATGATGATGTTCATGCTGATGGTGATGATGATGATGATGATGGTGATGATGATCATGATGATGATGATGATGCTGATGCTGATGATGATGAGGAGGGAGAGGAGGCGGGACGGTGCAGATGAGACGGATGAGGAAGATGATGATGTTGATGATGATGACGATCACAATGCTGATGATGCTGATGATGATGATGCTGATGCGGATGCTGATGCTGATGATGATGCTGATGATGCTGATGCTGATGCTGTTAATGATGATTATGATGATGCTGATGATGCTGATGCTGTTGCCTATGATGATCATGATGCTGATGATGATGATGACGATACTGACGCTGATGATGATGATGATGATGATGATGATGGAGTTGATGATCGTGATGGTAATGATGACGATGCTGATGATGATGCTGATGGTGGCGATGATGATGCTGATGATGGCGATGATGATGATGCTGATGATGCTGCTGATGATGATGCTGATTATGATGATGATGATGATGATGATGATGATGATGATGATGATGATGATGATGATGTTGAGGATGATGATGATGCTGATGATGATGATGATGATGATGATGATGATGATGATGATGATGATGATGATGATGATGATGATGATGATGATGATGATGCCGATGATGATACGGATGAGGATGAGGAGGAGGAGGAGGAGAAGGATGAGGAGGAGCAGGGAGGAGGAGGAGGTGGAGGAGGAGGAGGAGGGGATGAGGAGGATGAGGAGGACGGGAGAGGATGGAGGAGGAGGAGGAGGAGGAGGAGGAGGGAGGAGGAGGAGGAAGGAGTTGGATTGGGGGGGGGGGTTGAGGAGGAGGAGGAGGAGGAGGAGGGGGGAGGAGGAGGAGAGGAGGAGGATGAGGATGAAGATGAGGAGAAGGAGGATGAGGAGGAACATGAGGAGAAAGAGGAGGAGGGGAAGGAGGGGGGAGGCTGCGTTCGACGAGCTCTATAGCTATCAGGAACCAGGAGCCAGGAAGCAGGAGGAGGAGGATGAGGAGGAGGAGTCGGAGGAGGAAGAAGGAGGACAAGGGAGGGGGATGAGGAGGCGGAGGAGGAGGCTTGAGGAGGAGGAGGAGGCGGATGATGATGATGAGGATGATGATGATGCTGTTGTTGTTGATGGTGATGACGATCATACGGATGATGATGATAATGATGATGGTGCTGCTGATGATGATGATGACGATGTTGACGCTGGTGATGATGGTGATCGTGGTGGTGGTGGTGATGGTGATTTTGATGGTGATCATGATGTTGCTGATGATGATGTTGATGCCGATTGTGATTTTGATGAGGAGGAGGGGGAGGAGGCAGGATGATGCTGATGAGAAGGATGATGACTATGATAATGCTCACGATTATGACAATGATGCTGACGCTGATGGTGCTGATGCTGCTGATGCTGCTGATGATGGTGCTGATGATGATTGCGATGATGCTGATGATGTCGATGATGATGATGATGATGATGACGAGGATGATGATGCTGATGATGGTGATGCTGATGATGATGCTGACGAGGTGGTTGTTGTGGTTGTCGTTGTTGGTGTCGTTGTTGTTCTTGATGGTGATGATGATGATGCTGATAATGATGATGATGATGATGATGATGATGATGATGATGATGATGATGAGGATGATGATGTTGGTCATGCTGGTGATGATGATGATGATGATGCTGATGATGATGATGATGCTGATGATGATG